CCCACATACTCCAGAGGTTGAGGGGACACTTAGGTGTAAGTTGGAGTGGAGGTCAAAGAGAGTAGGAGAATAAATAATGTAGAGGAATGTGTGTGTGTGTGTGTGTGTGTGTGTGTGTGTGTGTGTGCGTGCGTGCGTGCGTGTGTGTGTGTGTGTGCATTGGCCCCTCAGGTATGAGAGATGTACAGACAGGTCAAGGGCCCTGACTCCAGCCCTGCTAGTGACATGCATGCCTGTGGCATACTAACACACAAACACATATACACACAAGCACACAGCCCACCCCACCCCTAGAGACCCCTGCTGGTCACCATGGTAACCCAGGAAGGAGGGGGGAGAGGGGTCGATGATGACTCACCAGACTGACTGAGTAGGAGCTAGCCTTAAGAGGGGGAGATGATGATGGGGGATTTACAGGAAAGGAGGAGTGAGGGAGAGAGGGGGATGAGAGAGAGAGTGATGGGGGATGAGAGACAGGGAGATGGGGGATGTATTATTGACATACCAACAAAGATGAGAAGCTGAAACCTCCTGTTCCTCGCTGACCACTGACACACACGCAGCTGATCACTACAGCTGCAGGAAAGCTGCCACTGTCACTGATCGGGGGTCAGTCTGCCCTATCCTGTCCTCATCTCAACTGTGTGCGTGTGTGTTTGCGCGCTCGTAGTTTGCTCTCACCCGGTTGCCAATGGGCATCTCGTTTTCATCCTCGTACCCGCGGCTCGCTCCCGTCTCCTCATCCCGTAAAAACACCAAAGATCCGGTTTGGCGCGCGCTTCTTCTCTCCGGTTCTATGCTGATCACGGTGAAGGCGACCCCGTCCTTAAAGACCCCGGGGCTACCTGCGTTGTCTGCTCGCGGCAACCGGAGCCCGACCAGGATCTGTAGCGCGAGTAGAAACAGCGGGATAATTAACAGCAGCACGCGCTGCACACCGCCACCGGCTGACATGCCTCCTCCGGGAAACCGGTGAGCATCTCGTGCCTTTGTTCTCCTTCCCAACCGGACCGGCCTGGTGCCTCGTGGGAGTCAACTGACCGACTGACTGCTGCGGAGCTGTGGGGAGTTAAAAACAGTAGCGTGAAGCGCAGTCGCTAGCCGTTCAATAACTTCACTCCCTCTATTTCATCCTCCCCTCCGCTTCCCTTTGTTCTGCCCACTTTCAACTGAAGGCTACAGACCCTTTCTCCTGCTCTGTAACCAGCGGGAGGGCAGAGTGGTGACGCAGAGCTCCAGGGTCAGTGGCCGATTGGTTGATATCTAGCCTATTACGGTATTTTTAGAAGTATGTTTCTCACAGAAAAACAAAGGACATTTAATAGCCCAGTGGCGCTCTAATCAGCAGGCTAAGTAAAGTATCATGGGAATTAGGGAATAGAAAAGTATCCGGGCAATTCCATGGTAACGGAATTACGCTGAGACTCACTTAAAAATGTATACCAAACAAAAACCATTGATTTCCAAGTTTAAAAAACCATGCAACTCTGCACAAGGACTACATTTAAGAATTTCCACTGAAGATTTTACAAAAACTAATTGACAGGAAGACACAAACTTTGCATCTACATCTAAATAGTTCAAAGTAGCCATTGTGCATAGAGTTGTATGTTTTGTTAAACTTTGAAATCAATGGGTTTTGTTTGGCATATACATTTTAAAGTGAAAAATCGGGGGCTCAGTGTAATTACCTTCCTGTGGAATCTTACCCCCCCCCCCCTCCCCTCCCCTCTCCTCTCTCTCTCTCTCTTTCTCCCTGCCCTCTCCCTTCCTCCTTCTCTCCCCCTCTCCCATCCACTCTCTTTCCCTCTATCTCGCCTCCTTCCTTTCTCACCCACCATCTCTCTCCCTCTCCTAGCTGTCCCATAGACTGATCCCCCCCCTTCCTTCCAACCACCAGATGAGGAACATCAAACACTCTTTCCAGTCAGCCTGTTGACAAACCGCTTCATATGTAAACACAGTCAAATATACAAATACAGTAAAGCCCATCACACACACACACACACAAACACACACACAAGCACACAAGCACACACACACCATACACACACACACATTGGCAGACTAAATTCTCAGATATCCAGTGGGGGAAGTGTGACTGCCCCCAGGGTTTAAAGGCCCTCTCAGGATTAATTTTAGACTGATTATGGACTCATGAACAATGGAGCCAGTCTTTCTCTGTTTATTTCTCCTCTTTCACCCCAGTCTCAATCCCATCAAGCTTCTGTTTTCCTGTCCTCTTTCTACCTCCCCTTGTCCCCTCCTCTCTCTGTGCCACTCTCTTAACTACCTTTCTCTCTCTCCTCCTCGCTCTCCCTCCCTCACTCGCCGCCTCCTTCCCTCCCAGCCGTGTCCCTGTCTAAACTTGCTCCCTGCACTGCATGAGCAGCGCTGAATACCAAGGAACTCTCTCTCACACACACACACACACACACACACACACACACACACACACACACACACACACACACCCACACCCCTCCCCCCACCCTATAAAGCATTAGGAGTCCAGGCAGTTTACCAATGGCCAGATCAGAGTGTATTTAAATATTGGCACTGTAGATACATCATGACATTAACAGACAGATATACAACTGTTCATCACAAAAACCACCAAACAACACAAGACCACGGAAAAAAGAAGGGAGAGAGTAAGAGAAGGAAGTGAAGCCCTGTTCATTCATCCACTATCTCAGATATAGAGCTCCACCTCTTTAGACCCTAAACACACACACACACACATACATACAGAAGACCATCCGTGTGGTTACACACTCACACACACACAAATAAACACACGTCAGTCTCTTTGGGGTCAGAGTGTGTGTCGGGTCTCTTTCCCTCCTAGTAAAAACAGTGAAACACAGGATGTAGAGTCTCCATGCTGCAGTCCTTCCATCGGAGTAGAGACCATGGCAGAACGTCAGAGAAACGATGATGGAACGTTGTTGTAGAGCTGTTGTAGCACAGCTGTGGTCAGGGGCAGACTGGGACCAGAAATTGGCCCTGGCATTTCTAACACACCGGCCCATTTTTTTCCTCAAGGTCCACACATTGGCCCCTTTTTTTCCCTTGAGGCACCCATTATTAGCCAAATAGTGATCTTTTTGCGTGAAAAACCCAAGTTAGACAGGCCCACTAGGCTTAAAATGGACCAGCCCATCTGGCATTTTCCCGAAATGCCAGATGGCCAGTCCGCCCCTGGGTGTGGTTGTGGGTCTGTGGTCCTAGCTAAAAGCCTGAACGTTAGAAAACACTGATGGAACGTTAGTAACGTTGTCTTAACTGTTTCAATGTGTGGTGAGGTTATGGGTCTGTGGCTGGAGTTGGAGTCTATGTACAGATGCTGGTAATTCAAGAGCTGATGCTGTAGTCCACTTCTCTCATATAGCACACACAGAGTGAAGAGTGTAGGGTTTAGGGGATAGGGTGGATAGGGGGTTAGTGTGTTTAGGGATAGGGGCGGGACTAGTCCTTTAGGCTCCGCCTCTCTGTTCGTCAGCGTCTGTCACTCCTCCCACAGCTCCTCTAGGCCACTCCCTCTTTCCAGCTGTGTGCGTGTGTGTGTGTGTGTGTGTGTGTGTGTGTGTGTGTGTGTGTGTGTGTGGGTTTGTGTTGCAGTTGGCTTTTGATTGTCATAGCTGGAGAACTAAAGATCTACTGTCTAGAGTTAGCAGATACATTCTGATCCATCATCTTGTCTCTGAAAGTCTCTCCTTAAAAAAAGTTTACAAATCTGAAAAAGGTTGAGATTTAATGCACCTGTAAGACAGAGAGAGAGGGGGGGGAGAGAGAGAGAGAAACCGTAATTATGATGTGATTGTTAGACAGTAAAACCTTTACATAGCTAAATGGGATTATTCTATGAATGAAACAGATGTTAATAAATGTCTATAGGTGTTGTGTCTAACCCTTTAGTAGAGAGAGAGAGAGAGCAAGTCCTCTTGTGTCTAATCCTTTAGTAGAGAGAGAATAGGTCCTCTTGTGTCTAACCCTTTAGTAGAGAGAGAGTAGGTCCTCTTGTGTCTAACCCTTTAGTAGAGAGAGAGTAGGTCCTCTTGTATCTAACCCTTTAGAAGAGAGAGAGTAAGTCCTCTTGTGTCTAACCCTTTAGTAGAGAGAGAGAAAGTCCTCGTGTCTAACCCTTTAGTAGAGAGAGAGTAGGTCCTCTTGTGTCTAACCCTTTAGTAGAGAGAGAGTAGGTCCTCTTGTGTCTAACCCTTTAGTAGAGAGAGAGAGTAAGTCCTCTTGTGTCTAACTCTTTAGTAGACAGAGAGAGAGTAAGTCCTCGTGTCTAACCCTTTAGTAGAGAGAGAGAGAGAGAGAGAGTAGGTCATCTTGTGTCTAACCCTTTAGTAGAGAGAGAGAGAGTAGGTCCTCTTGTGTCTAACCCTTTAGTAGAGAGAGAGAGTAGGTCCTCTTGTGTCCAACCCTTTAGTAGAGAGAGAGAGAGTAGGTCCTCTTGTGTCTAACCCTTTAGTAGAGAGAGAGAGAGTAGGTCCTCTTGTGTCTAACCCTTTAGTAGAGAGAGAGAGAGTAGGGCCTCTTGTGTCTAACCCTTTAGTAGAGAGAGAGTAGGTCCTCTTGTGTCTAACCCTTTAGTAGAGAGAGAGAGAGAGTAGGGCCTCTTGTGTCTAACCCTTTAGTAGAGAGAGAGAGAGTAGGTCATCTTGTGTCTAACCCTTTAGTAGAGAGAGAGTAAGTCCTCTTGTGTCTAACCCTTTAGTAGAGAGAGAGAGAGTAGGTCCTCTTGTGTCTAACCCTTTAGTAGAGAGAGAGAGTAGGTCCTCTTGTGTCTAACCCTTTAGTAGAGAAAGAGAAGGTCCTTTTGTGTCTAACCCTTTAGTAGAGAGAGAGTAGGTCCTCTTGTGTCTAACCCTTTAGTAGAGAGAGAGTAGGTCCTCTTGTATCTAACCCTTTAGTAGAGAGAGAGTAGGTCCTCTTGTGTCTAACCCTTTAGTAGAGAGAGAGTAGGTCCTCTTGTGTATTACCTGCAGCTACAAGCTGGTGACACTGAAGCTGTCATCGCTGGGGGGGTCTAGTAGCTGACAGAGCACTCCTCCTCCTCCTCCTCCTCGAGGCGGGGGCTGTGGGTGGTAGCGGGGGTGCATCCCGGGGTACGGGGGGTAACCCATGTCCTCAGAATGCGGCGAGGACGCCAGGGGGGGCTTGTGGTGGGGGGAGGGGTACGGGGAGAGCTGCAGGGGGGCTGGTCGCAGCCCTGAGTTGAGGTGGTGGGGCAGGTCCCGTTTGTGAGGTTGGGTGGGACCATGGGGGGGCATGGCGCTGTGAGGGGGGCGCTCCTCATAAAGCAGGGGATGAGCGTGGGAGTGGGGGGAGAGGTTAGGGTTGTGGTGAGGGTGGGGGTGAGTGTGTGAGGAGAGGTTAGGGTGGGAGTGTTGGGTGGTGTTGGGATGGGGGTGGGGGTAAGTGTTAGGGTGGGGGTGTGGATGTGGATGAGGATGTTGGTTCTGGTTTGAATGAAGGTGTGTGTTGATGTGGAGGTTGGTGTGTGTGTGAGGGTTGGTGTTGGGGTTAGGGTGTGTGTGTGGGCTCATGCTTGTCTGAGGTGTGTGTGGACTCATGTTTGCATGAGGGTTGCTGTTAGGGTGTGTGTGTGTGTTGGTGTGTGGGTGTGCAGTAGTGTGAGGGTTAGGGTTAGGGTGATTGTTAGGGCTAGCATGAGTGTTAACATTAGCGTGTACATGTGTGTTGCCATGTGCGTTAGCATGTGTGTGTGTAGTGGTGTGTGTGTTAGCGTGGGGGCTGGGGCTGCCGCTGAGCGATGCCCCTCCGTACCAATAGGGGGAGCTACAGTAGCTGGGAGAATCATACTGGGAGGGGAAGTGGTCCTTGGAGGTGGTTGCCAGGTTACGATGGGGGGGGCTCAGCGCTGTTCCACACTGTGGCAGTAACCGTGGCAATGGGGAGCAGGAGGGGGAGAAGGAGGCGGGGGGAGGAGCAGGGGTGAGAGGGGGGTGGTAGGGCTGGGGAGCGGGGGATAGTTTGGGAGGATAGGAGGAGGATGCGGAAGTCATTCCAGGGGAGAGAGAGGAGGATGAGGCCTCACCTGGGAACAGGGCTGGGTAGTGCTCCTCTGAGGATGGGGTGGAGGGGTGGGCGGAGTAAGGGGACGGGGAGGGGTACTCACAGGGTTCGGTGGGGTAGCCGAGATGTGGGGCGGGGGTAGGGAGGGGGGAGAGGCTGCTGCTGTCTCCACTGTAGTAGTCAAGGCCTTCCTGGAACAACCCCCCCTGAGCAGAACCCCCTCCACCTCCACCTCCAACCCCACCCCCAGCAGCCTTACTCTTCTTCCCCCCTGGGGGGCGCTCTCCAGGGGACGGGGACAGCCCTCCTCTGCCTCCTCTCACCCCCCTGGCCTGCCGTCCCCCCATTCCACTGCGTTTGCCACCAGAGCCCTGGGTTGGGGTGGAGGGCTGGGTCTGGGCTGGGGGGCTGGTGGGAGAGTCTGGGGTGGGCCCTGGTCCTGCTCCTGGTCCGCCACCCCCCTCCTTCTCCGTTTGGGGTTCGGTGGCATTCCGTTTCCTGCGCCCCCGGCTGTGCTTCCCCTGCCCCTGGAAGAGAACGTTCTGGCTCCAGTTGTAGGAGGGGCCTGAGGCGCTCTCATGCCAGTCCATCATCAGCTTCTCCAGACTTGATAGGCTGGACTGGCCTTGACCTCCCTCTCCATCAATAGGAAGAGACTCCCTCCCTCCACCCTGCCTGTAAGCCCCGCCTCCGGAGCCTGACCCCGAGCCTCCGCCACTGACCCCGCCTCCTGACCCGGTGACCCCTAGGTGGGAGGAGTCAGAGGAGGACTCTGATAGGCTCTCGAGGAAGGGTTGTCGCTTGGCCTTCTGGGGGGTGTAGTTGGAGATGTCCAGGATGTCTTTGGGCTCGCTGGGGCCTGGGGTGACATAGTCACTGTAGCTTCCTGGGTAAAGATGACCCAGACTGTCCGCCGCCCAGCCACCATAGCCCTGCCTGCAACACACACACACACACACACAGCATAGGATCAGTTTCAGCAAGGCGAACCACAGACACGCTAACCTTAATAACATAATAAGTACTTATTTGGGACCCAAGGTGATTTTGTAGATCAGGGATTCTAAGCAGTCCGACTGCAATGTAGTGTAATGTATCTCAAACACATACTGTACACACTTATAAGAGGTTAGGGTAGGATTGTGGTAGAGTAATCTAATCCAAACTTTGTGGTTCTAGGCAATTTAGACCTACCTGAAGCTACTTACCTGTAGTTCCACTGGTTGGAGGGGTAGTGTCTGTATCCCTCTGGAGATGATGAGGAGGGGAAGGGGCTGTTCTTGGCCATGGCCATATAACCCCCTCTCCCTGGAGAAGATGGTCCAACATGCCCAGGGTAGCCCCCATAGCCCCGCTTGGAAAAACTGGAATATCCCATCTGACCCTGGCCTACGGTGGTGGCCGTGGAGGCCTTACTCAGCCCTGCTGCCCCGTAGGCTGCGAAGCTGCAGTCTGCGGGTCTTTGTGGCGCTGTGCTGCCCCCCGCAGGAGAGGAGGAGGAATAGCTGGACGGGTACTGACCGTAGGAGGAGGAGGGATGGGGGGAGCTGGGAGATCGGGACAGAGGGAGGGAGGGAGGGGTGGACTTGGGGAAGGAGGAGGTGGTAGGGGAGTTCTGGGACAGGTTATAACTGTAAGGAGGTCTGGAAGAAGAGGAGGAAGAGGGATGATGTTGGGTTGGGTTCTCCCTTGGCTCGCCTTTGGAGCTGCGTTTGGGGAAGGCTGGGGACCAGCGAGGGGCTGGGCCGTGGGCAGGGCTGGAGGAGTCGTAGCCCGGGGTGTGAAGAGGTTTCCTGGGGTCGGGGCGATTGGAGGAGATGTCCAGGAGGTCTGAGGAGTTGTCAGAGTCCAGCAGGGAGCGGAAATATCCAGCAAACAAACCCTGCGGCTCCTCTCCACCTCCACCTCCTCTGCTGCCCCCAGGGCTGCCGTACGCACTTCCTCTCCCCCCCTCACAGGACGGGAAGCCCCCTCTCGGGGAGCCACAGACCTGGTACCCTCCTGGCCCTCTCTCCCTCATGCTTCCCCCCTCTTCCCCCCAGACAACTCCCCCATTAGACCAGTCTTGCTCTAGCTGCCCCCCTGCCTCCCCCTTCAGAACCCCGTTCTTGCGCGAGCGTCGTTTCCTCACTGGCTTCCCCCCCTCACCCCCAACCCCCATCTCCCCCCCTGCAGCCCCTCCTCCCCTGCCTCCCCCACCCTTCCCTCGTTTCTTGAGTAACCCTGGTTCTGACAGAGCGGGGGTCGCTTTCCTTTTCTTCCCGATCATCTCAAAAAAGTCGCTGAAGGAGCTCTTGAAGCACTCTCCCCCGGCTCCTCCTGCTCCTCCCCCTGCTCCTCCTCCCCTGCCCCCAATGGCTCCCCCCCTGCCTCCCCTGCGTCTGAACCCTGTGAGTCGGTGGAGCAGGGCGGAGATCCCAGGATTGTCGGACGGCATGTGAAAGCTGTCCGGTTCGCTGGGTGTCCAGCAGCGTGGTGGGGAGCAGCGGCCAGTGGCCGGCGGTTGGCGGTTGAGGAATGCCAGTTTGGACAGAACGTCTCCGTACTCCGTCTTCACGTCGTTGGTGTCGTTCACGTACGACGGTTGCGGAGACGGGAGCTTGGCCCGCCGGCGCCGACGAGGTTTCTTGGGCTCGCCATTCCCACCGGTGGTTTTATCTGGCGTTCCAGGTACAACCTGTTTGGGAGGTCGGCCGCGGCGACGTTTCAGGATCACCGGGAGTTCTCCAGGCGGGAACATGACCATCACGCTCTTCCCGTTGTTCTTCATACGGAGGAGCGCAGTCGGCTCTCGGACTACCGCTGTCCCCCTCTCGGCTCCCTCCAACCTGCCCTCGCCACCTGCCCCGCCCTTCTCAACTGTCTCCATGGAGGAAATCTTGTAGCTCTTCTGGCGTCGGCTGAGGTTGACTGGGATACGAGCTACCTTCACCACGATACGCCTCACCTGGGGAACAAACACAAACACACAAACACAAATATTATTTCCCGGGTGAACTCTGGTTGTCAAGTGATGTCAAATCAACATGACGAGATGGGATTTGGTTTGTTTTGACTGCTATGTGATTAATAATATACTAGAACTTGAACTTACACCAACGAACCGGCGTTTCCGTTTGGTGGGGGGATCTAGATCACCAGGCTCCTCCTTCTTCACTGCCGGCCGGGGCACGGTATTGGTCAATGGACGAGGTGAGGGATTGGTTGCTGGTCTGGGATTGGTTGCTGATCTGGGCAAAGGTTTGGGTGAGGCTTTCATCGATGGTCTGGGTTGGGATTTTGGTTTGGCATTGGTTGAAGGTTTGGGTTGGGATTTGGTTGAAGTTCTATGTTGGGGTTTGGGCGATGGCCGGGGGGCGGAGTGAGAGGAGGGGCGTGGTGAGGGGTGTGGTGAGGGGCGTGGTGCTACGGGTACTGGTACAGGTGAGTATGCAGGCTTGGAGGCTGCAGGCTTGGAGGCTGCAGGTAGACATTCCTCCACTGTGGGGCGCTCTACCTTCACTTGTATACTCACCCTCTCTTTCTCCTCTTCCTCTTCCTCCTCCCTCTCCTCCCTCTCGCTCTCCCTCCCTCCCCTTCTCTCTCCATCCTCGGTGGATCGGCGGATGCGGGAAGACTTGCGTAGCTGGCAGGGGAAGCGAGGTCGACCAGAGCTACGAAGCGCATACTTTCTCTCACCCTCAACAGGTACAGGGGAACGATCTACAGGGTCTGGACCAATAGTAGAAAGGTCTGGACAGGGTGGACCAATAGGAGAATGGCCTGGAAGATTTGGACCAATAGCTTTTGAGGGTTTAGAGAGATCAAGAGGTGTTGAACTAATAATAGGGGCAGGGCTAATGGCTGGGGGCGTGTCTCTGTTTGCAGAGTGTGGAGGAGGGGGGCTGCAGGGAGAGAAAGCAGCTTGCTGATTGGTGCAGGCTGAATGATTGACAGGCAGGAGGGCCTGTCGCTGAGGTGATCTGGTGTGAGTCTCTGGTGATGAATCAGTTCTGGGCTGCTCTGGACCGGCAGAGTCCGAGTGTGTGTGAGCATCCATGTGTGTGTAAGCGCCTGTGTGTGTGTGAGCGTACGTGCACGTCTTTGCAGGTGTGTGCATTTGGACGTCCTTGTGTGTCTGCATGCCTATGACTGTCTGTCCAGGTGTGTGTGTTGGAGCATCGGTGTGTGTGTCGGTGTGTGTATGTGTCTCTGTCTGCCTCCGTCTGCGTGTTCCAAGGACAGGCCTCCTGTGCAGGTGAAGACCGTTAGCCAGGGAGGGGGGTGAGGGGGAGGGTAAAAGTTCAAAGGTCTCCTGAGCTCCAGCCTCAGCGCTGGGTTCCACTGTGACCCCCTCCTGTACCCCTACAGCCCCTTCCCCCCCATACGCCGCCTGCGCCCCCTCACACCCCTGCTCCTCCGCTACAGCCCTCCCGTCGCACCCCACCCCCCCACCTCCCCCCGACCGTAGGCGTCCAGACAGGCGGCTCATCCACCCAGGGTGATGGCGATGATGATGTCAAAGTGAGAGTGTCAGAGAGTGTTGAGCCCCAGTGATCCTCTTCGGAGAGGTTAGGGAGCTCTCTCCCTCTCTCCGTTTGTCTGTGTTTATGTGTGTTCCTCTGAAGTCACAGGCTTATATCCAGAAGGCTTAGGGACCTGAGGAGAGAGAAATACATAAGATAAACACACTCCAAACAGTAGATTCTAACAGATAATTAACTTAATGTTAAAGGGAGACGTTGGGATTAGATGATGTCAATCATTGTCATTCATTTAGGATTGGGATTGTTTTGTAAACAGACTTAGAGCTCGAATCAATCCGTATCTTAGAAGTTTAGCGTTACATCGTGACTGAAATTTAAAGGCAATGTTCCCACGTAGGCGGAGACTGCATTCACGGTAAACGCGGCATATGTCGGCTCAATCGAAAATGACCTTTACATTTTTATTGAGTAATCTGTAACGCTTCAGCGATACAGATTGAATAGAGCCCTTAGTGTGGACCCCAAATACTTTAATGTAACAGATCAATAACTTTGATGTAACAGTTTCATTTTCCTCTACTGAACTTTTCCTCTACTGTAACCAAGAAGTAACAATGATACAACATTGACACAGCATAACATCCCAGTGCTGTCATTTACCATTCTGGTAGAGTTTATCCTGTGGCCTGGCTGTCTGTCTGCTGTGGTTCTTTGGGTCGCCAGTATGACAGTACAGTTCATGCACACACACACTACACACTCGTCTCTAACACACACTATAAACTCTACTCTCTTTCTCAGCTGCTGCTCTCGACTGCCCATCACTTCTAAAGAGAGAGTGAGAAAGAGAAAGCACAAAAAAGGGGGGAGAGAGAGAGAAAAAAGGGGGGAAAGAGAGAGCGCCAGAGAAAGAGAAAAGGAGGAAGAGGGAGATGGACAGCCATTAACAGGACAACCGTGATGTTTGACTAGAAGGTTACCCACCACGCACGTGCGCAGGCGCACACACACACACACACACACACACACACATTGTGACTTTACAGTCCCAAACAGGGAAAGAGAAATGTGTGAATATTAACCAGCAGAGGGAGGCAGAGAAATTATGAATAGAAGTCAGATTCTGTTTGGTAGAGAGCGAGATGGAGGGATAGAGAAATGGAGGGGTAGAGAGATGGAGGGTTGAGAGATGGAAGGATGTATAAAAAAAACACAGTAAGATGTGAGCCAAATGAGAATGGAATGGTATCTTAAAAACCACACATACACACACACAATCCTTTCCACTGCCAGAAGTGTTTGGGAGTAGTGAACTACATGTAGTTCAACTAGTAATTAAACAATATGTTTCCGTAGCTTGGTGGTAGTTGAACTAAATTAAAATCTTGGTAGTATTTTCAGAAGTACTTTTTGCCATTTAGTGGTGTAGCTAACTACTGGAACTACACACTACTTTTCTTGCAAAAATATAAGAAAATATGAGTGAAATAGGCAATCATTTATTTTATATTTTTATATCAGACCTCCCAGCTAGCACATTTGGTTCCTTGGAAGTTGTGGGGAACGTACGTTTTTGGTTTCTCATTGGTTCTGGGAACGAAGCCATACGTTTCCTGACCGGTAAAACGGAACGTTAAAAAAACGTTCAATTTTACATGTTTCAATAAGACTTTTAATAACACTGCTAGCTTAGGTTAACTGTTTTGAACTCGAAGCACAGATAGGACACATGAAATTCATTTGCTTAGGCATTTTTTGTATTATTGTGACACAGTGTCAGTGTACGGAAGTCCAGAGAGGACATATTAATAAAACAATTATTCCCTCGTTATGTCGAGATCACAACTTATTTATCTCATGATCACGACATAACAAAAGTTGTTTTGTCGAGATCACAAGATAAACTATAAATAGTAGTGGACGTATTGATGATAGATTGATGATAGATATGTTTTTATTGATTGCTACACTAAGGGATGGTACATTTCAAGCTAACATCATGCTAACATCATGCTTTTGTGTTTGGAGCTCATTGTCAATGTATAAGTTAGAATGTTAGCAAGCTAAATGTCCCTTACCTTGAGCTAAGAGCTCTTTGGGCATTTAAGCCCTGAACGATGCCTGACAGGCAGCCCTGTCTCCCAGGCTGTGTGCCAACCCCAAGACCACAGCCAATCGCATGCATGCAAGCAACAACACAACTAACTTGACTAGTCTTGTGGTTGATTGAGCTAGCTAGTTAGTTTTGTTAGCTAGCTAGTTTGTTATCTATGCTGGTTGTTAGCTTGCGTAACTGATACAGTATGTGTATAATTGTAAGGGACACTTAATGTTTTATGGATAATATTTAAATGTACAGAGTGGGTGAGCTCCATTCCTGACAGGCTGATCAGATTCAAGTCGGGATTCTGCCCTGTAGGCTGTTTCATAGGTAAAGCTCCTTGCAGGCAGATTAGCAGTCAGTGCATTATGTATATGATCAAGACTGGGTGCACTCTATTCCTGGCAGGCTGATCAGATTCAATAGCAGCCTCAGAGGCTGATAAGTCAGGATGCCACAGATGTTTTGCGAGAGCGTGCAATTGGCATGCTGACTGCAAGAATGTCCACTAGAGCTGTTGTCAGAGTATTTAATGTTCATTTCTCTACCATAAGCCACCTCCAACATCGTTTTAGAGAATTTGGCAATTTGTCCAAACAGCCTCACAACCGCAGACCACGTGTAACCACACCTGCCCAGGACCTCCACATCCAGCTTCTTCACCTGCAGGATCATCTGACACCAGCCATTCGGACAGCTGGTGAAACGGAGGAGTATTTCTGTCTGTAATAAAACCCTTTGTGGGGAAAAACTCATTCTAATATTTTATGAATTATTATTATTTAATTTTTTTTATTAATTTTTTTATATATATATATTTTTTTAAATCTATTTTTTATTTTATTTATTTTTTCACCTTTATTTAACCAGGTAAGCCAGTTGAGAACAGGTTCTCATTTACAACTGCGACCTGGCCAAGATAAAGCAAAGTAGTGCAATAAAAAGCTCCTGTAAGTCGCTCTGGATAAGAGCGTCTGCTAAATGACTAAAATGTAAATGTAAATGTAAAAACAACACAGAGTTACATATGGGGTAAAAAACATAAAGTCAGAAATACAACAGAAAATATATATACAGTGTGTGCAAATGTAGCAAGTTATGGAGGTAAGGCAATAAATAGGCTATAGTGCAGAATAATTACAATAGTATTAACACTGGAATGCTAGATGTGCAAGAGATTATGTGCAAATAGAGATACTGGGGTGCAAAAGAGCAAAATAAATAACAATATAGGGATGAGGTAGTTGGGTGGGCTAATTTCAGATGGGCTGTGTACAGGTGCAGTGATCGGTAAGCTTCTCTGACAACTGATGCCTAAAGTTACTGAGGGAGATAAGAGTCTCCAGCTTCAGAGATTTTTGCAATTCGTTCCAGTCATTGGCAGCAGAGAACTGGAAGGAATGGCGGCCAAAGGAGGTGTTGGCTCTGGGAATGACCAGTGAGATATACCTGCTGGAGCGCAGACTACGGGTGGGTGCTGCTATGGTGACCAATGAGCTAAGATAAGGCGGGGATTTGCCTAGCAGTGATTTATAGATGGCCTGGAGCCAGTGGGTTTGACGACGAACATGTAGTGAGGACCAGCCAACAAGAGCGTACAGGTCACAGTGGTGGGTAGTGTATGGGGCTTTGGAGACAAAACGGATGGCACTGTGATAGACTACATCCAATTTGCTGAGTAGAGTGTTGGAGGCTATTTTGTAAATGACATCGCCGAAGTCAAGGATCGGTAGGATAGTCAGTTTTACGAGGGCATGTTTGGCAGCATGAGTGAAGGAGGCTTTGTTGCGAAATAGGAAGCCGATTCTAGATTTAACTTTGGATTGGAGATTCTTTATGTGAGTCTGGAAGTTGAGTTTACAGTCTAACCAGACACCTAGGTATTTGTAGTTGTCCACATACTCTAGGTCAGACCCGTCGAGAGTGGTGATTCTAGTCGGGTGGGCGGGTGCCAGCAGCGTTCAATTGAAAAGCATGCATTTAGTTTTACTAGTGTTTAAGAGCAGTTGGAGGCTACTGAAGGATTGTTGTATGGCATTGAAGCTCGTTTGGAGGTTTGTTAACACAGTGTCCAATGAAGGGCCAGATGTATACAAAATGGTGTCGTCTGCGTAGAGGTGGATCTGAGAGTCACCAGCAGCAAGAGCGACATCATTGATATACACGGAGAAAAGTGTCGGCCCAAGAATTGAACCCTGTGGCACCCCCATAGAGACTGCCATAGGTCCAGACAACAGGCCCTCCGATTTGACACACTGAACTCTATCTGAGAAGTAGTTGGTGAACCAGGCGAGGCAGTCATTTGAGAAACCAAGGCTATTTAGTCTGCCAATAAGAATGCGGTGGTTGACAGAGTCGAAAGCCTTGGCCAGGTCGATGAAGACGGCTGCACAGTACTGTCTATTATCAATCGCGGTTATAATATCGTTTAGGACCTTGAGCGTGGCTGAAGTGCACCCGTGACCAGCTCGGAAACCGGATTGCATAGCGGAGAAGGTACGGTGGTATTCGAAATGGTCGATGATCTGTTTGTTAACTTGGCTTTCGAATACTTTCGAAAGGCAGGGCAGGATGGATATAGGTCTGTAGCAGTTTGGATCTAGAGTGTCACCCCCTTTGAAGAGGGGGATGACCGCGGCAGCTTTCCAATCTCTGGGGATCTCAGACGTTATGAAAGAGAGGTTGAACAGACTAGTAATAGGGGTTGCGACAATTTCGGCGGCTAGTTTTAGAAAGAAAGGGTCCAGATTGTCTAGCCCAGCTGATTTGTAGGGGTCCAGATTTTGCAGCGCTTTCAAAACATCAGCTGTCTGAATTTGTGTGAAGGAGAAGCGGGGGGGGCATGGGCAAGTTGCAGCAGAGGGTGCAGAGTTGGTGGCCGGGTTAGTGGTAGCCAGATGGAAA